CAGCCCCCACTGCCGCCGCCATCGCCACTCATACTGGGGCCCGCCGCCCAGCGATTGTTCGGGCGCCAGATGTTGAGGTCCAACCCCAGCAGGTCCAGGGATTTCCAAAGGTGTGGACAGAGTCGGCAAAGAAGGAATGACACGGAGACAGCGTTCAGTTGATCAGCAGCCTCAGCGTTCAGTTGATCAGCAGCCTAGCCAGGTTCTCTATCCAGGTTCTAGCCAGGATCTCCAGCCAGGTTCTGTCTTTTATTGTCTTGTTACATCTGTATTTATACCAGTTGATTTTAATCCTGTCAATTTCTATTCCAAAGGTTAGGGTGTTTCTTATCTCCATTCCAGGGAGTAAAGATTATGTAGCTTTAAGCGTGATGTTCGTAGTTAAAGTCATTAACTACCCGCCTGGCACTTAGTTCAGGGGTTTTATTTTTTATTTTTTTTCCTTCTTTCCTGTTTTTTTCCTCTCTCTCCTCCTAATACACACTTTTTTTAGTAAGGGGAATACCATGAAGTCGCTCTAGCCCGGCCCCTGTAGACACGACCCCGGGGCCTGCTGTTAAAAAAAAAAAAGAGAGAGAGAGAGAGATGTGAACATAGATAACAGTAAAATGTAGTAGCATAATTAGAAAATAACGAGTTTTCAGTATTTATGAGCTTTTTTGTTTTTTTGTTTTAATATATTTTTATTGATTTGAGAGAGGAAGGGAGAGATAGAAACATCTATGATGAGAGAAAAATCATCATTGGCTGCCTCCTGCACGCCCCCTACTGGGGATTGAATCTGCAACCCAGGCATGTGCCCTGACTCGGAACTGAACTGTGACCTCCTGGTTCATAGGTTGATGCTCAACCACTGAGCCATGCCGGTTGGGCTATTAGCTTTGTTTTTAACATGACCTATTTATTTCTAAATTAACATAATTTAATTTTTAATAGTGGTTGTGTTTAACAATCAGCTCTCCGAATTCCTGAAAATTCAACATGAGATAATCTAAGCAGACACTAGCACACCACGGGTCTTATCCTTTAAAACCAAAAAGTGCAAATTCTCTGAGCCTGCAATTCTTCTGGGAATTTATCCTACAGAAAATAGTGGCACACATATATGAAGATGTTATGTACAGGATGTTCTTCGCAGAACTGTTTATTGGAACAGAGAAATAATAGGAGAGAAGTTAAATAATTATGGTAGAATCACATAGCCTGTCAGAGAATGAGGTCAGTCTTTGGGCATAGACATGAACAATGCCAAGACATTTATATAACAGCATGCTGCAGGCCAATGTGTAGAGTATAAACCAATTTTTATATTGATATAATCACAAGAAAACTTGAAAACAATACACACTCAATGTTGGCAGGAGTTTTCCACAAGCATGGGACTAAAAGGACAGGAGAGGAAAATTGTCAACAAACTTTATATAAACCCAGAAAAGGAAAGTGGTTTGGAGTATGAGTAATTTTTCATTTGTATGTATGTTTTTCATTTACTATAGTATACAAATTATAGTATACAAATAATTTGCAGAAACCTTGTCCTGAATATTTGTAGCTAAAATATTACACACAAACATACAAACATAATTTTTCCTTGGGGCATTTTTACAGAAGTGGAATTTCTGGGGTAATGCTATGTCCAGTGTTATGGCTTTTTGATAATATTACCAAAATTGCCTTCCTTACAGTTTCATTAGCAGGAGTCTGGTGCCTGCATCCCCTCCTCTGTTCTCCATGTTTGGTAGCTTCCATTTGTTCGATCATTTGCGAAGGTAAGTATTGTCTCCATCTCTACTGCTCTGTGGGAATCGTCCATTTGTGCCCTTTGCCCACTTTGTACTGTTATTAAAGTAACCCATAGAAGCCCTTCTTCTATAGACCTGTAGAAGGCAATCCATTTTATACATTGAAATTACTGCCCATTTTTTGTTGTTTTTTTTAAAATATATTTTTATTGATTTCAGAGAGGAAGGGAGAGGGGGTGAGAAAGATAGAAACATCAATGATGAGAGAGAATCATTGATTGGCTGCCTCCCGCACACCCCCTACTAGGGATCATGCCCACAACCGGGGCATGTGCCCTTGACCGGAATTGAACCTGGGACCCTTCAGTCCACAGGCCGATGCTCTCTCCTCTGAGCCAAAGAGTTAGGGCCATTTTTTCTTTTTTTTTTGATGTGTGTATAGTGGGTGGAGAACCTTCCTCCAGATACACCCAGCTCTTCCTTCAGGCCTCTGGGCCCTGCCACTGTTCCAAGGCTTTGCCTGATCTGAACTGCTATTTCCAACCTGGGAAAAGAAGCTAGTGGATAACTGAAAATGCTGGATAAATGCTTTAAACCTTCTTAGAGACATCAAAGAGCAAATGAGATCTAAGGAATTTTCAGGCCAAAAACCAAGTAAAGGTGAGAAACCCAGAGAGGTGATCACAGCATTGAAACTACTTGGGTCCTGACATGTTTGCCAAACTAGCAAACTTACAGTAAGCTGGGATTTTCTTCTTCATGGGCTCATGGGTTAAAAGGACCAACATAAGGTGATGTGACTCTTGCGCATAAAGCTAGGGCCCCAAAAAGCAGTGGACTACACCCACTGGACAATTCATTTTCCCCAAGCATGGGGGCTGGTAAAAAATAAAAACACATTGGTGTTCAGCAGAAAAGAGAACATAACTCACTGATAAATAGAAACCACATGCTGATACTTTCTGGCTTTGCAGTCCAAATTCGTATCACCTGAGTGATCCCCCACAAATTTCTCAGGCTGTGGATTTCATTTAAAACTAGAGGCCCGGTGCACAAAAATTCGTGCACTGGTGGGGGGGGTCCCTCAGCCCAGCCTGTCCCCCTCTCACAATCTGTGGTCCTCAGAGGATGTCCTACTGATGTCCTCTGTGGGAGGCGACCAGGCCCATCAGGGGAAGGTGCCACCCGCATCACCCTGCTGCTGCCACCACCACCACCACCACCACCACCACCACGGCTGCCGGCCCTCGGCCCTTGCTGCTTAGCACTAGCCCTGCCACACACCCACTGGTGGATGGGGGGCACCCCGTCCAACCTCTGCAGAGGCGTGGCACCAGGACTGGGCCCATGCCGCTGCCTCTGTGGCTGCCTCTGCAGAAGGGGCAGCACTGTGACTCTCCCACTGCTTCTGCGGAAGGCCATGCCACCGCCTCTCCCGCGCCACCAGCCCTCGGCCCTCGCAGCCCTGTGACTTTGTGTGGAAGGATGTCCAGAAAGATGTCCAGAAGATGTCTGGTCTAATTAGCATATTACCCTTTTATTAGTATAGATGATCCTGGCCTTCTCTCGTAGATACCAGGCACCTGGCAAATAAATCTTCCCTTGATAAAGGCACTTACTTATAGGCTACAAAAGGCAACAAGTGTCAACTCACAGAGCACATGGAAATAAGGCACCATGTATGAAAGCCACAGACACACAAGTCCAGGTCAGCAGAACTGACCCACAAAAGTGTCAGGCACAGAAGATGTCAGACTAAATTACAAGTAAGCTTACTATGTATACAAGATTAGAGACAAGATTTTAAATACCTGCAGGGAGCCATAAAATATAAAAAATGACATAACACACGTGAAAAAAAACTTTTAGAAATGAAGAATATAGCCATCAAAAATTAAAACTTAATGGTTAGCCCCAATGGTTGAGCAGTGACCTATAAACCAAGAGGTCAGGGTTCGATTCCTGGTCAGAGCACATGCTCAGGTTGCTGGGGCTGTGGGCTCGATCTCCAGTAGGGGGCGTGCAGGAGACAACCGATCTCTCTCATCATTGATGTTTCTCTCTCTCCCTCTCCTTTCCTTTCTGAAATCAATACGAAATATGTTTTTTAAAAATTCAATATATGTTTAAGAGACAAAACATAGTTATACAATTAGCAAACTTAAAAATAGGTCAGAATATTATTTTATATGAATGGACTCATATAGTATGTGATCTTTTATGTATAGATTCTTTCACTGAGCATAAAGTTTTCGAGGCTCATCCATGTTGTAACATATCAGCACATTCCTTTCTATGGCTGAGTATTATTCCATTGTATGGATAGACCACCTTTTGTTTATCCATTCATTAGTTAATGGACACTTGGGTTGCTTTCACCTTTTCACTATTATGAATAATGCTGCAACAAAAATATATAGCAAGGTTTTGTGTGGACATTTTCATTCTCTTGGGTGTATGCCTCAGAATGGAACTGCTGGCTCATATGGTAACTGTTAACTGAGTTTACAAATGAAAAAATACATTTATAGTGTTTTTTACATTTACAGCAAAAATATAAATAAAATAATAATTTTATTGTTAAAAAAAATAGGTCAGAATAGCCCAGCCGGTGTGGTTTAGCATCAACCTATGAAGCAGGTGGTCATGGTTTGATTCCTGGTCAGGGCACATGCCCAGGTTGTGGGCTGGGTCCCCTGTGTGGGGCATGAGGAGGTAGCCAATCAATGATTCTCTCTCATCATTGATGTTTCTCTCTATCTCTCCCTCTCCCTTCCTCTTTGAAATCAATAAAAATATATATATTTTTAAAACATTTTTTTAAAGGTCAGAATAAATTATCTAGACTGCAGCCCCTGTACATCTTTCAATTTTGTGTTCATGGTGCCTTGTCTCACCCAATCCCGACTCTACTACAGAATGCACTTGAGGCAGAAAGAAA